TTCCGTGAAGCCTCCTTCCTCACCCCCACCCCCTTAGACACACACCACTGTCCTTCCTTCTCTTGTTCCCATTCTCCCTGCCACCCCATGCCACTTAGGACACTACCCTCCCTGTGGGCAGTGACTTGTATCTTTTTTATCTTGACCCCTGGTACCTACACACAGTGCCAGAGATACTGGTCCAGCTGCTTAGAATTCAGCAGGGAATCTAGCAGACAAAAATCCCTGTCCTCATGAAGCCCTCATTCTGTTGAGTAGACAGACTATAAATAAAATAAGTAAAATGTAGAGCATGTTAGAAAGAAGGGGGATAGGGAGAGGGAGCACGTTGTGAGGAAGGAGGGATCGGGAGGCAGAGTTCCACACTGAACTAGGCGGGCAAAGGTCTAGAGGCTGGAGGGAGGGAACTGGCCACCACAGCCCTTCTCATCACAGGAAGGACTTTGGCTTTTGCTCTGAGATGGAAGGTACTGGTGGGTTTTGAGCAGAGAAGTGACATGATCTTGTGCACACTGTAACAGGATGCCTCTTGCTGTATTGGGAAAAGACGGAAGAGGTACAAGGACAGAAAAAAGGAGACCTAAGGTGGGGTGACAATCCAGATGAGAGCTGATGGAGCTTGGATCCTGTGGTAGGGGAAGGATGGAGCTGCTAGGACCTCAGACAAGGAGACTGTGGGAGGCACAAGTTTGACAGGGAAGGTCAAGGCTCAGTTGTGCATGTTAAATTTAGATGCCTATTAGACATCCAATGGGAATATTGAGCAGGTGGCAGGATATGAGTCTGGAGTTCTAGGGAGAGGGTCCAGGCTGGAAGTATATATTCGGGCATCTTTAGCATAAAGATAGATGTCATTTAAGCTCTTTTCCTCCCTGGCTGCCTGAAGCTTGGCCACCATCATGATTGACATGATAACTATCCAGACCAGGAATTTCAGCAGAAACAAATGGTCATCGATATTCTTCACGCTGGAAAGGCAGCAGTACCGTACTAAGACAGAAATTTGGGGAAAACTACCCAGAATGTATAAGACCACACCAGATGGCATCTTTGTAATGATTTATGGTTCACTGGATGATGCAAAGAAAAAGGAACCCAAACATAGACTTGTAAGACATGGCCTGTAGGAGAAGATAAAGACCTCAAGAACACACAAAAGGAATGCAAGAACGGAACGAAGAAAGTCAGGGGGACTGCAGATCCATGTTGGTACTGGTGAAAAGTGAGCTGGAGATTGGACAACAGAAGGAGTAAACATTCTGCAGTGACTTTCTCTGTGGTGATGGTGCAGATTTTTCATGAAAGAATAAACTAAGAACTTAAAAAAAAAAAAAAAAAGATGTCTTTTAAAGCCTTGATGACCAGATGAGATCACTAAAAAAGAAAGCAGGGGTGCTCACGTAAGTCAAATGCTGCCGATGGGCCTGACAAGAAATGAATACATGCCAGGGCCTGTTAGATCTGCAAAGTACAGGCCATAATTAAAGGTAACTTGCAACAAATGGGTAAGGCACCTAGCAGGTACAGAGATGAAATGGCTCTAAGTCATGGGAACACTGGACACCTAAGGAATGAAAAACCATGGCATCTTGGGGCGCCTTGGTGGCTCAGTCGGTTAAGGGTCTGACTCTTGATTTCAGCTGATTTCAGCTCAGGTCAGGATCGCACTATTCATAAGATCAAGCCCCGCATCGGGTTCTATGCTGACAGAGCAGAGCCTGCTTAGAATTCTCTCTCTCTCTGCCCCTCTCCCCACTCATGCTTGCTGCCCTCTCTCTCTTTCAAAATAAATAAATAAACTTAAAAAGAATCATGGCATCTTGGACTTGGAAGGGACCTTTAAATAGATCATTTAATCTGGACTCCTCCCCTACCCTAGCCCTGATAATTGAATCCCCGGCTTTGGAACAAGAAATATTTGTGGGATACTGAGGCAACCCGTGTGGCCAGGTCAGGGAAGGCACCATTGAAGAATGAGTAGAAAATGACGCTCCTGAGTCTGAAAGCTCCCTAGCCTCGTGTCCTTAGGCAAGTCACTTCACCTCCTCTATCTTCAGTTTCCCTGTTTGTAAAATGGGAGCAAAACCTTCTTGTCCCTCCCAGGGGTGTAGAGAGGTCTAAATGTGCGAGTGCTTGGGGTAGAGTATGCTCTTCCTAGCTTGATAATTGCAAGAGCAAGAGAAGGAGGCCAAGAGAAGTCTCCCGCTTGGAATGGCCATGCGAATGAGGATGAGGAGGGAACTGTCCTGTCCTCAGTGCATCTCCTGGTGCAGCCTGTGGAGAAGCTAACAAGATTCAGGCCAGGATCTGGGCTGGAAATGGACTGGGCTCAGGTGGCAAGATGGGCCTGCGGGACGGACAGAGACCTTGACTCTGCCTCCACTGAGCCTGGAACCGAGTTGGAGGAGACCCTGAGGCAGCGGCAGGGAAAAGAAACGGAGACACCGAGGCAGAAAGAGACTCAGAGACAGGGAGACCAAGAGACAAACAGACCCAG